ATATTAAGAGAATAGATTATACATTTAATATTATGTTACCGTGTTAGATTTAGGATTTCTTAATCAGTGGATCACTTAAGCCTATATAAAGGCTCCTTTTGTGACAGTTTAATATATGACAATATAATAGAATAATAGCAATTCAATATGCATTTCTTCCAGTTTTCTCTCCTAGCTTTTCCATGTTTGATTCCTAACACTTTTCAAGACATCAGAACCAGCCTCAGTCCACCCATTTGGTCCTTATTCAAGCATTTTCTTAATGTAGTTTTCAAACCATATTCTTCCAAGTGAGTAAATAATTTTCACCTTAATTTTATATATCCTTTTTATTTTTCCTGGATTGTTCAGAAAGGAAGCACTGTATTACCTCCTTAAAGAAGAAACAACATCAATAGGAGTTCCAGACTCAACACTTTGCCTCCATGCTTTGTCCAGCTCCTCTGCAAGTTGATAACTATCCTACAAAGATTCAATAAATGATCCGGAAAAGTTTTTAGTTCATCCACGATGTGGTTCTTTTCACATAAAATATCTCCACACACTCGTGAGTATTTGAAACAAAATGTGGCACATAGCATTGTTCATTAATCATCACAATATATATGATTCTACCAACATCTGGATGTCAAATGGAAACAAAATATTATAACTTTTAAGCGGAAAAAAGCCAACACTTAGTGATCCTGAAATTGCTAAAAGCCTAAAATTACAGAAGAGGATGAACAGAATAATTTGACAATTTAGAGTAATTCAAAGTCTACCTCAATGGCCATGCATCCCCCTTGACTCATATTTGGCTGCATGGCATGTACAGAATCCCCAAGCAACGTTACATGCCCTCTTCCCCAAGTGCATGTGGGCGTCAAGTCATATATATCACGTCGAAGAATTGCATCTTCATCACTGGCAATTATCAAATCTATCACATAATCACACCAACCTTCAAATATTTTCAGCAACCTTTCCTTTTTACCTGCAAAAAGAAGTGAAGACCATTAGAATATACCAGACCTACTTGTTTATGATCAACCTAAATCCTTGGGCTGTATTCTGTCTGCAGTCTGTTAAGCTTTCTTGAAATGATAGCACAGCCAACACATAAATTTTAGGAAAATTAAGTAACAGCGTGGCATATGACTAAACATTTAAAAACATGAGAATTTATTTTCTTCAAGCTTCTTCAAGTGGAGCACTTTCAACTTGTGTGATAAAGAAACCTTATCATGTTAAATCTAGATATTCAGTAGAGTGCCTACCATGGGGGCTATCCACACCACCAGGTGGTTCCTTGTGAAAAGCATACCACTGCATCTTTCCAGCAACAACATCTGAGGAAACAAAGTATTGCTTGTGTCCCAAAAGTACACGGAACCTTCAAGAAAATTACTATATAAGAATCCATGTAGAACAAAGACCAAGAATTCAAAGCAGATAACATATGGCATGAAAAAGTCATAAAAAATGGAGTAGTTAATATGTAACAAAAGAGAAAGGAAACATACCCAACAGACTCAATATCAGCTGGCACAAAATCTGCAATACCAGAATAACAAGTGTACCCCAAGTATACAGCTTCTTGTGGCCCAAATAAGCTCTGCCTCACCTGAAAAAGAATATAAGGAAACCACAACCAGATGGTTTCTTCAAATATTAAAACAATCAGACTTGCTATTGATGGAAACATTAATTTCATTTAGACAATGATTTCATTGAAAAGGTGTCAGAAGAATGACAGTGAATCTCACCCAACTTTAAAATCTAGGTCTAGTAACACATTAGGCAAAAAAATAATCTAGGGCTGGTTTAATTTTCCCTTTTTTTTTATATATATAAAGACAAGCTATTTAGCTCCATTGTAGGTCTACAAACAGTTCCATTTGATTTAAATTTCCTTATTAAACTGCTTATCATACTATCATAGCACTATAGCAGAAGGGTCATAGTTTTTATTTTAACTTCAATCCAGAGTCTCAACAGAGAGAGAGAGAGTTCCCGCATATGCATAACCAATATAGAGTGGTACCTTGGACTGTATTCCATCAGCTCCAACTAAGAGATCACCTTCATATTGTTTTCCATTTTCAAGCATCACAGTAACCTGAATTTTTTAATAAAATGGAACAAATGTAAACTAAAAGTACACAAAACAAAAACATAATCCAGGAAATTAACCACTTTGCTAGGTGCATAAAGAAACAGATTACCATGTACCCAAAAAAGAAAGAAAGAAAGAAAGAAAGAAAGAAATAGATTCATACTAGATTTGATCTATTTTCCAAGAGAGCATCGTGACCAGTAGGAGATGACTTTTCACCTATTATTAGCTCATATTACCTTATGTCCATGATCCTCAAATCCAACAACATAGCTTTTGTTAAAAATTACATCTTCCCCTACTGCAGAAGCCAAGATTTGTAGCAAAGTCATTCTGCTAATAATTCTTGTAAGTGGAAGCCCCATTTGTACTGCAGGGGTGAACATATCCATCTTGACATACCTGTTAATTATATGATAAGCAATATTCTATTAATCCAAGACTGATAAAAAATAAATAAAATCATAGTCACTCAAAGTTTTGTTAACAGAAAGGATTTCTTACTTCAAAGTTCTACACTGTAGATGAATATACAGAAACTCAATTTACCTGCACCTACCCCATCACAGCTTTAACTTGACTATTAGATTCTCATCCAATTTATGATTTTACACCTCAATTTTCCATTTTCGTTTTACAATTCTTCTGGCCAAATTTCTATATTTGCTTGTTTAACTTACCATCATCCTATTAGCAGAGAGAAACAAGACAGCAGAATTAATGTTACGAACCTTGGGAGAAACACACCTTAAAAGCCAGTTATTGAGATGGGAAAGCCCAAAGTCATGTAAACCCCACACTATTCCCAGTCCCATACCTTGCAATTGGAACTGTAAGAGAGGTGGTTGGAAGTTCTCCGACTACCTTCCCTTGCCCTGGAAGAAAGAGAAGAAGGTAGAATCGAGAAGGGGAAGCCGGAAGCTGGTTGCAGGAGAGGAAAAGTAAAGTTAGGAAGAATGGAAGGAAGAAATTGGAAATGCACGCATTCCAATCCCATGGTCCTAGAGGAGGAGCGTGACAGCGTCTTGTATTGTATTTTATTGTATT